ACGTGTCACGTTGTTTGTCCGCGATAAACTCCTAAACTAATGAACTGATTTCAATATAATATTGCACACTGTGTGCAGTTTGGCTTTGGTCAAACTAGAGAGATGGGATAATTTTTATCCCAATAATTGACCCTCGATGTATTTTATTACGAATTTAATGACTTTTTATATGACAAAGGGTCGTCGGATAGGGCAGAACAACGTCTACGTGGCCAGCTAGTCATTTATAATTTTGAAGAGCAATAAGCAATAACTTGTCAGTTTGTTGTTTATCTCGTAAAGCAATAGCTGTGACATATAAAAACTAACGCAGCATTTTACGTCTACAGCAGATTTTTTAGCATCAAGTGATTTTGTAAATTCTTAAAACACTTCTTATATGAAACTTTGATAGATATTTTATATAAATAATATTCAGCACCGTGATTACCGATTATAGTAGTAACCGTTACAAGATCTATGGCCTTGGAAATCAGTCCAAGAAAAAAGATAGACGCAGCGATGAATACTTTTGAAGTGATGCAAAAACCATGCTCAACTTCTTGATACTCATCACATCACACATATTTGCATTTTTTTGCACACATCCTTCATTCTTTAAGAGCTCGTAAATGTTCACTGCTTTAACGCACACATTTGTACCTAAGGCGGGTTAAAAAATTCGCGTAATGGAGGGGTTTGAGAAAGGTGAGAGGATTTTTTAAACTGACACTACTTGGTGACTTAATACAATTATACCAAGTTTCAGCCAGATAAGTTCATTAACCTTTGAGATATCACAGAATAAACAAGTCAATCGGGAAGTGAACAATAACTAGGGAAAAAATTAAGTTTCCTCCTGTGATTAAGTTACTAACTTAGCAAGGTAAAACACCACATATCATTATGGAAGAAATGTCTTCTGTTTACAGGGACTCTTTCCCTGGAAAACTATGATTTATAAGTGGCATAACCTTTTCAAGCAAAGCAGAGACTCAATTGAAGACAATCAGCAATCAGGCCGACCGATAGAAGCAACTTCCTTCAACACATTGTCGAAAAAGTTAAAAAAAAACACACACACATAACAGGGAGGAAATTATGAACCGAGTTGTGACTGCGGATAAAAATTGAATTCATCACTATGAACCTGAGTTAAAACAGGAGTCCATGCAGTAGTGACATAAAAAGGCGCAGCAATGCCTAAGAACTTCAAGGTGTCACAATCAGCTGGATAATTATGGCTTCAGTTTTTTGGGATTTGGAGGGGATTTTATTAATCGATTATAAAGATATAGATGTCAATATCGTGAGACAATATTACACTACGCTACAATAAAAATTAAGATGCGATTGAAGAAAAAAGAAGGGGAAAGTGGTTTCGAGCTGTGCTCCTTCTCCTTTTGCACAACAACACATCCGTTTACAAAAGTCATGTTATGACGGCTTCCTTACACAAGTGCGGCTTCGAAACTTTAAATTTAAACCATCCTCCTAGTCTAGATTAGGCCCCTTCGGATTATTATTTGTTACCAAACATGAAAAAAGAGCTTCGGGGAAAGAAATTTACAGACGACAGAGTGAAGTCGATAATTTCTGCCTATTTTGAGAGTCTTGAGTAACAAAACTTTTATTCTTTCATACATGGTAGAGCTATGCTGCAGTTATATTAGTAGTATGGAAGGACCATGCTCTCACAGAATACCAGCATAAAATTGTGTTTCGCATGGTGAGTGTAGAGAACCGTAGACACTTTTTACTGGAAACGAGGCATTCCATCTTAGTCCTCAAGGGTGACAACGCATTCGCACTTTGATTCGTAATCGAGGATGGATATAGATGTCTAAAGGCCACAGCAACCTCTTACCATCAGGTGGACAGCCAACCCGTTTGCCAAATGTATGCAGTCGTGCTTGGCATTAACTATAGCAAACTTCACCCCTATAGGGGATGCCTATATTTAACAGTGGAATTTGTGTAACAGTTAACAGTATATACACTTGACGGCATGTGAACTGAATGTTATAGTTATGGCTGTGACCATGAAGATGGCAGATTTAATTTTCATGTATAGTTCAAGTGTGTGTATAATATAGAAATAATGGTTTCAGCACTGGTGATTTGTTCATGTGATATTTTTTTAAATTGTGAATTTTCTCTTTTAAAAATTTTACTTAAAAATACATCCTAATTTATGCACAAACATCATCATTGGTCAATGACAATTCAGTTAAATATAGAACCAAATTTTAATACTCAATTAAAGATACTACATAAATGAAAACTAGGTAGCCTTGATCTACTCTCCTACCATTTAAACATGCACCTGGTATACATGAAACATATGGACACTGAAAGCATTTATTCGTATTAATGGATTTCAAATTAACAAACAATAGATATAGTTTATTAAGTAAAGTAAAGAGATTAAGTAAAGAGAATTTAGAGTCCTATAAGAAAAATAGTCTTTTTTATTATTATCTTTTGTTTCTTTTTCTTTATTTAAGGAAAGCATACAGCCATAATAATACTTACAAAAGCCAGTTAAGTTTTCACTAACTAATAATAACATACTTGATCATTGGGCAGAAATACTAAAATACAATTTTTTTTAATATGACATATGTTAAAGATAATGTAAAACAATCTGGTAATGAAAGAAAATGTGTAAACCTGGGGACTATATAAGTTGCTTTATTTATTATAGATATAAATTTTAAAATGTTCAAATTAAATACAGTGGATTTCGTTTGTTACGACCTTGGTTGTAGCGAGCATTTACCTATAGCGACGTTAAATCTAAGTCCCTTGAATTTAAAGCATACTTTAGTACAAAATTCATTCTCGAGCGCCATTGGGTTCAACTGTTTTTAACAAATCATTTGTAACAAATTCCTAGAAAACCCTTACAGATATTGAGATTGGAGTCCCTGTTACCGAAGACACAAAGATTTCTTTCTTTCACAAACATTTCTTATTGTATGGTTTGGAGTTAAATTTATGGTTCAGATATTCTGAGTAGCACTTTGAAATGTACCAGTGAATAACTATGTGTGCAAATATTTTTAATAATAAATTAATATAAACTATATACATGTGTACATGTCTGTATCTCTTTACCTTTGCCTGTAACAACTTCTCGATATAACAATGAAAATAGAGTGGTCCCTTCAACGTCGTTATACCTGAAATCCACTGTATATCTAAAATACTATAACGTTAGTTATAGAAATTACAGGCTCTAACAATAAATCGATTTCTTGCAGACTTAGTCTTACAAGCAGGAATGTAAAATTTTTATGTTAAGCTGCAGATTAATTTTAAGACACTTTATTGTTATATTACTCAATAAGTATGGGGACTATGGGTTATGCAATTTTACAAATGTGATGAGAAATGAGAAAAGAATTCTTTGGTGGTTTGGACATGTGAAAAAATTAATGAGGAAATAATGACAAAGCACTTTTTTTTTGCATCGCCGAAGTAGTGTTTTCTGTTTACTTACAGGTAGACCGGTAGAGAATGCTTTAAGGTATTAAGTCCACCTTTGTACATTTTTGTGCAACAAAGTTTAAATCATTAAATAAAAAATAAAAGCACATTTATTGCACACAAGTGAGAAGCTGAGTTAGCAAGAGATGTTGTAGATGGTAGTTCTAGAGGGATTACTAAACTGAATTAACAACACAATACTTAAATAGATATCTCACATTTCTAAGAATAGACTCTCTGCTTCTATCAACATAAACCTTAAAAATTCTTATACAATACAATTCAGAAATAATAGAATCTTTTAACATGAAAGTTTGTATTTTTAGAAATATGAATACAAAAATTTACCAGTTATAAGCATATTTAACAAAATGTATATGCATAGTCTATATACAAACTAGGTGACTGTTTAAGCAACATGCATTAAGTGAGCATAACAGGCATCTAGTTTGTATATAAACTAGACACCTGCTATGCTCACTTAATGCACATTGTTAAAGCCATGTGATACAGTACATGATTTAGAGCTGTCATTATTCATTTGAATTCCATTTACAACTTCATTATGCACCAGTGAATGAAAAGTGAATTTCTCACTTTTAGGGTAATTTTGATACTCTTGGTATGATTTCTTATTAATAATGTGCTATAATTTCTAAAAATGTAGGGGCAGTGGCAGAATATCCACTACCCCATATTGTAACAAGGGTGTTCTAGAGGCCACGGAAGAAAACTTAAACAGGAGATGGGCAGCAGCATCTTCCAAGCCCCTCGGCAATTGTGGCATATATGGCAAAATCCCTCTCTATTAGGTAACCTATGGGGAGGCCTATGTTTAGCAGTTTATTTTTATATGCTGTAATGGAGAACATAATTTCAATTAAATAATGAATTATTGATTAACTTGAGAAGTAATCTAGTTCATGTATAGACTAGACTATACAATAAAGCAATAATACAAGCTGGAAGAGAAATAAATAAGTCAACAAAAAGAATGCGCAAGTCAACAGTGTTAACCCTAGAAAGATAATCTACGTCAAAATGACTCCTACGTGAACGAAATAATGCCGCCTCTTTTTTAATTATTGCGAAACATTGTGTTTTTCAGACATCTCATTCACCGCTGGGAGCTAGCGTAGGGCAATAGCATCATTGAGGTAAGTGCCCGCCATTTTGAGATACGATAGTCACAGGAGTCTTACTTACTTATCTTCACGCACAAACCCTAACGGGGTAGCCAGAGAGAACAGATCGCCAAGTGTCACGATCCTTACATACCTCTTTCGCTTCTTTCAGGTTCATTAACTTCTTCATACATGCAAGTCTAGGTATCCGAGTACTCTTGACCTTCCCCTCTTCGAGCAATCACAGTCACAGGAGTCAAAATTATGTATGATTATATTTTAAGTGACTTTCACAATATTTGGTGAAATGGTTATTCGTGTTGTTTTTTTATTGTATTCATTATTTTTATTTATTTCTGATATTGTTTTTATTTTTTAGTCATCGTGATACTAAGCTAAGCCAAAATGGGGACTAGAGATTTGGATGAAGACGACATCCTGGCCGCTGTTTTAGAGAGTGATGAGAAGCCGCCCTGTGTTGACACCGACAGAGAAGTTGAAGACCACGAGAGCGAGGATAACATCCATTGCAATGAGGAAGATGGTTTTGTGGACGAAGTGAGGGAAGAAGTAGCAGTAACTCCTTTCTAAATTTACCCCATGGAGGAAGAAAGCTCTGAACAAGCAACTCCCTCTATGGATTGGAATAATAACTCTATCATGAAGAACTAACAGAGGTAAGAATAGATATTGCTGGTCGACCTCAAAGTCTTCAAGACGTGCTGGAGTCTCAGCACAGAATATCGTCAGGTCTCAAAGAGGTCCAAAACGCATGTGCCGCAATCCTTATGACCCTGTTTTATGCTTAAACATCTTCTTTACTGATTAAATAATTTCCGAAATTGTAAGACGGACCAAAATATCCTTCAAAAGACGGGAAACTATGACTAGTGCTACATTCAAAGACACAAGTGAAAATGAAATCCGTGCTTTGATCGGCATCTTCGTAATGACTGCAGTGAGAAAAGACAACAACAGGTGAGTTGTACGACCGATCTTCTGCAACATTATATGTCTCCGTGATAAGTCGTGATCTATCATTATTAAAAATAATTTGTTACAAATGAGTGCCCAAGAAGAGGATAAAACAGAGCCAATAGCCAAAAAAAGTGGCTACTGTAAATATTGCCCCTCTAAAATAAAGAGAAAAGCAAATGCCATATGCAAAAAATGTAAAGCTGTTGTAAACAGGTTGATATGTGCCTAAACTGTTTTGACTGATTTTTTTATACAATTTTCATGTTATTTTTTAACTTTGGTTTTTTATTACTTAGAATATAATATAAAAATACTGATTTATGATAAGATTATGAAAAAGCTTTAAAAGAAAAAAGAAGTTGCTAAGTTTTGTTGATTATTGGGAAGTTTGTAATTTTTGTTATAAAATGAATAAATACAAATAAGTAAATGTTAGTATTTTTAATTGATTACGGTAGTAGAAAACTTTTTGTTTTACTCGAATTAGTAAAATACTCTTCATTTAATAGCCACTCAAAACTAAGGAGTCAATTTTACGTATGATTATCTTTTACGTATAACTCAATACGATTATCTTTCTAGGGTTAAAAAAGGCGAGCAGTAAAATTTAGATTGTTTGCATAATTGTCATTTAACTAAATATATCAAGTTAAAAATAGTAACACTTAGTAAAAGTATTGTGTAAAAGATTTTAGACTAGTAATTATTGATATATGGAAAAAATAGTAGAAGTAACCCGGCATTGAATAAATAGCAATTGTGTACGAAAGATCTATTAAGAAATTATCGAAGCATTAACGCTTGTGTTCAATATGTTATAATTTTGTTGCATAATAAAATAAAACAAAAATAGGTACAAACTACTTGTTTTTAAATGTAAGCAAAGAAAATCTGTGTGACATAACTCAAATTCAAAGTTTAAAATTGAAGCACTATATCATTGGTACATAAAAAATAACTTACCTTAATTTTAATTACAAAAATAACTTTGAGTTATTATTTAGTTATAATTACGTAGAAAGAAGTCTTACAAGAAGTAGCGATTTGCGACAATTCAAATCAAAAATTCAAAACCACAGAGTACCTTTCAGTACCTTTGTTTAATTTAAACTGAAATTTGCTGAAATTCAAAACCAAGAAAATCCAAAAATACCACTCTCATCTATGGATCATAGATAATAGATATTAGATCAGTGTTGCCAGATGCCTTGAACCTTTTATCTGTAGTAGAAACAGCTAAAATCTGTATGCTATTTAAACTCAAAATCTGTATAAAATCTGTATTTATTACCTTGTGTAGAAGCCTATGGCACTGATATTTTACAAAAAATAAAAATTTTGAATTAAATAAATAAATAAATTGAAATCTATCGAAATATAATCATATCAACTCTACTTTACCAATGGCAATAAAACAATAAATTTAATCGTCATCTTTGACCTTGTCACTTCGCAGGATCACAGGCTAGGAGGGACAATATTTGGATTTCGATAGAATTCATTAATTTATTTATTTAATTCATTTTTTGTAAAATATCAGTGCCATAGGCTTCTACTCTGTCCACATGTTACATCCAATTTTTTTTTCCAGACGGTAATAAAGATTATCCAGTATACATATTTTATCAATACTAATGTACAGTAGAGCGTCGATTATCCGAACTAATTGGGGGACATAGGTGTTCGGAAAACCGAAGTATTCGGAAAATCGAACTTTATAATTTTATGTAGCAACATACCAATAAAGCATATTATATAAGTATAATACAAATTTTGTTTATTACAGTTGCAAATAGGAATACAAATAAAGAACAGAGAGCTTGGTTAAACAAAAATATATTTTATAATCAATATTGAACATACAGTATGCCTATATATTTAACATTTAAAGAAGTCCTTAATTTTGGTCTGTCGCAGCGTACCTACTATAATATAATATTATCTTATTATTACGATTTCTGTGGAACCTAGCCTCTTACGCACAGCTAAGTCGCGAACTTTTTTCAGAACAGATATCTGATACTGATCGCTTTCATTTTGAGCTTCAAACCATCGAAAATCCAAGCATATAAACGCTTCAAAAGTAGTAGATATGTTTTCGTCTTCATTTACTGAACCACTAATTGATGAGTTACAGGCAGCGGTACAGCGATAGGGTATATCGATAGGGTACTGAATGTACCGGGCACGTTCCAGCCTGCAGATATTAAAATTTCAAAATAAAAAAATATTATTTTATAGATCTTAATTAGCCCTTTCGACCTACGTTAATTAATTTATAAGCCCGTTTTTCGTTTTCCCAGGAAAAATAGAAATATAATTTTCAATTTTCCTCTACTTAAAATAGCCATATCTCTTTGAAAAATGATTATTTTTTACTCTACCAAGCATAAAAAAATTGCCCTTGCGCTAATTTAATTTTCCCGCGTGCTAATTCTTATAAATATTCAATAATTATTATTGTAAACAATAAAAAACCGTCGTGGCATTTCCAAGCCAATTATTTGCGCATTGCGCATGCGCGACAGAATAAACTTTTGACATATAATAAATGCAGATATTAAAATATCAAAATAAAAAATCTCATTTTATAGATCTCTATTAGCCCTTTCGACCTACGTTAATTAATTTATAAGCTAAAAAAAATACAGGCTAAATAAGTCAAATCGAAAACCATGCGGGTTTGTTTGCCGAACCGGTTTGTAGTTTTTATTTAGATTTTATAATAAAGTATTACAAAAAGTAGTAAATTTTTCTATTATTGGTTTGTTATTACAGATTTCCAAGAGATCCTCTTAGGCGGCACACTTAGATTGTAGCTTATATAAATCATGAATCTGACACTGCAGTACCAACCTTGAACTCGTGGAGTCGTATAGTATCAAAGACGGCAAAGTAGGTCGAACCAAATTTTTGGAAAACCAAAAAAACTGCATATTCTCATTTTTAGACGAGGATTTTTATATTGGATGTTTCATTGTGATTTGTGGTTATGACAAATGTCAATGAACACTAAACCTATAGCATAACTTGATCCGACGGCACCGTAATATTTAAATAAAGTTACTAGATTGCCGCTTTTGATAGTCAAGTTAAATAATGGCCGTGTTTGAACCTCAGCTTGGTAGATATAGCCGCCTTTGACACTAACCGAATGTCATGATAGCCGCGTTTGAATTCAACAGTTTTATCGTAGAACAGGGTTGTCAAAATTAAAGAATGTTATTTACTGAATATTTTTATTACAAATTAACATTAACTAAATCAGCTATTTTAATGAAAATTTCTAAAAACGAAAATAATATTTTTTTAACTTAAAATATAATTATAAACGCAGTATTGTTTCGAAAAAAAAATTGAATATTCATTTATAAGGATATTTATATGGAATGTCAAAGAAAAGCAATAACTTTAAAATCATGTGGTTAAACACATACAAATTCATATTTGTATGTTACATGATTATGTATACAGAATGTAACAAAAATGATTAGATGATATTTAAGGGGCTGATTCTGCTGCTCAAATATAGCAAGATTCCATGTGGTAGAATTTATTTCATTCTTTAAAAAAATACCCCATACTAAATACTTGGGAAAATCAACCGTATAGTATGTTACCTAAATTTTTAATTTAATTGAAAAAAAATCTAACCTACATAAATTAGCTGTACTTGATCAGCAGAATCAGCCCCTTAAATATTATTTTATATTTTTGTTAGATTCTGTATACACAATCACGTAATGTCCAAATATGCATTTTGTATGCGTTGAACCACATAGTCTTAAATACATTGAAATAATTAAAAAAAAACTTAAAATAATAAACTCTAACTACATAAACCGAAATAAACAAGGTTTTATTGAGCCGAGGTAGGTCGTAGGTTCTTGAAATATAATGTACGTCATAATTCAAACATGCAATTCAATAGTTTCGCAAGTTGATTCGTTGCAGAAACTTTCTTCGTTTTGTGGACTAGCCACTAGTTCATCTTGTGTTTGGAGGAGTTCTTTATAAAACATTAAAGAACGTAAAGCTACCCACTCAGATCCGAAATGTTTTTGGAGAAGTTTCTTTATATCCTGTAACTTATTTTTATTTACGGCGACAATGTTTTGCAGAGGTTCAGGGTTTAGCATAGATGTTTGTTTATTTCGCTGACATATGTTTTCAAATTTACCTAAATCAGTTTTATAATTTAGTTCTCCACGAACCAGCACATTTCCGGCTTTTTTTGACCTTTTTAGTATAAATCTTTTACACTCTTTAAACTGGACTGACCATGACGTAGTTTGTTTAAACACTTTTCTGACTGTGTCCCTCCAATCACTCACAGTACAATCGCTTCCGAATTTTACGATACTTGATGATTCTCTTATAATTCCTGTTATCTCATTTGGATGTAGGATAACCTCCTTTTTTTCAGTTTTCTTTCAATCACACCAAACTGTCGGTCCGGAGGCATAAAAGAATGGCCAGTCACCGGAAATATCAATTCAATTGTATGAATACAAGGGTTTTCCAATAGCCATTTAGAACAAGCCCCCAAAACTATACAGTTTTTGTTTTGACCACCGCAACCGTCAGCGATCAACCGAATATGTGTGATATCGGTTTTGTCGGTTGCGGTGAGTCTATGATACACAGCAGATGCTATAAGATTAGAATCTTTATTGTACTCATTTTCGGTACAAACGTAAGCAAAAACATTGTTCCTTGACAATGGATTCTTGGAAGTACCCTCAACCATTGTAAGATTATAATAATATAGTTGACGACTGTAATATGTTGACTGGTCAGGCAATTTTGGAAGGGGTAGGTTTTTTTGACAGTCAAATGAAATCACTTTCACATTTTCAGGTGCACTGCCTAATTTTTCATAAAAGGCTTTCGCTCGCAAACTATGAACATGTTTTTTTATCATTAATAAATTTTTCTTAATTGGGTCTATTTCAATTTTAATTTTTTCTTTAAGTTCCAAGCACGTAGAACACACATCAGTCTTTGGTGTTCCAAAACCAATATTATACGATGTGTTAAAAACATGGCGGAAATACGACAACTTCACTAGGGGATGTACATGTTCACTTACTTTGTACATTTGGAATAATTTAGACAAATTTAATTCAGTTGGTAGATATTTTCGTTCAGCTGTTTTCGTTTTTCTACAGTAGTGAGATTCTATACATTTCAATGTTGCAATGTAGTTGTGAATAGATCGTTTTTGATCAGCAAACTTTGCTGTTTTGCGGTCTCCTCCACGATGCTCAGTACCAACTTCCCCAGTGTAATAAAACTTTTTCATGACAAATGCCACTCTGTGCTTGGTAATCCCAAAAATATGCAAAAAAAAATTATTACAGATAGGTATTCTCGTCTTGTTAACAATCACACCATATTTGATGGTAGTTTGTTTCTTCCCTTTATATTTGTGATGATTTTTACTGGTACGATTAGCCGACATTATTTTACATAATTTTAGGAGTATAGCATCTTGATCTTTTTTATTCGTATGGGAATAAAAGTCCTGATGAATTTTTGTCATTTGTGCCATAGTTATAGTCTGACATTTAAATGCTGGTGTATTGTGATTGCAAACTCTCTGCGGCATACTCTTTGGTTCATACCTAAACAAAAAAAATTGAAATGAACATTTGCGAATGTCATATGTCTTACGACCAGCAGGGCAAAAATTCAAACTGTTATTTACAAAGTTATTTTTGTCCTTCCTTCTCATAATATTTTATCCTCAAAATATTATATTCTGTAAATACTGCAATTTTGTAACATCGATCACGTAAGTGAAATACATAAGGTAACATTTCTAACGAATTATCAAAACAAATACTTTCTAATTATACATACAGTATTTAGAAAATACTTATAATGTAAGAAGGGATATAGAAAAATCAGTAACTTTATGAAATGAAACTCTATAGGGGCCGTGTCACAGGCAAAAGCTAGTAATTATCAAAACTAAAGAAAAGTTAAGTTTTAAATTACTATTTACATAGTAAGTTTAATTGACAACCCTATCATAATAAGCAACACGAAATTACCTTTGTTTTTTTAACACATTTATCTTCCACATATCGCTGTTCCTTCTTCGTTTTCTAGTGTAGTTATTAGTAGCAGGTGTTGGAGTATGTTCCATGATTAAAATTACTTATGTTTAGGCACTGAATCACAATAAAAACTGGAGACAAAATTGTACTCAATCTGCACTATCCGCCATGTTGCGAGGCGACTGTAGGGACCTTTCTGATTGGTGGAAACTAAAAGATGACCGGTTATGATTCTAAGATAAGAAAGATTGCCAGCTTTGAAACTCAATTGAATTTTCAATCAACTTTTTAAGGGTATTATGGTAATCTTTGTTTCTGAAAGACCGATTGATTAAGTTTCTTTTTGGATTTAATGTGTTGCCATACCCATAACTCATTTTTCACTATCTACCTACTTCGCCGCCTTTGATACTATACGACTCATTAAGTCAAATCGAAAACCATGCGGGTTTGTTTGCCGAACCGGTTTGTAGTTTTTATTTAGATTTTATAATAAAGTATTACAAAAAGTAGTAAATTTTTTCTATTATTGGTTTGTTATTACAGATTTCCAAGAGATCCTCTTAGGCGGCACACTTAGATTGTAGCTTATATAAATCATGAATCTGACACTGCAGTACCAACCTTGAACTCGTGGGAGGTAATGTTGGGCTGTAATTATATTTAGATTAAATATTTTTATTATTACCCTTGACACCAATATTATTCTACTTGAAAATATTTTATTAAGTTTACAAAAGCACTAACCTATCAAATTTAATTCATATATTTATATACCTATTATTGTAATTGTAAACTTAATGTAGTAAAATTTTTTGTACGCCATAAATAGCAAAACATGTAGCTCGTTTTAAGTTTTTTAACACTTGTATTTTATTTACTCATGTTTTACAAAATAAATATCTTTATCTGTATCATATATATATATATATATATATATATATATATATATATATATATATATATATATACATATATATATAGCTTGAATCTTCTGACTAAAAGAAAATTATTTATTTTAGGGTGATCGTGGTGATTGCACAATATCATCTACATCGAAAAAAGTCACAATTCGAAAAAAATCCTTATATAGCCCGAACTAGTCCTACTCCCACTGCGAGTACGAACCAACACTTAGGCCAAGGAAAATTAGAATGAAAAAATGCTTCGATATAAAAACCAATAGCATAAACAGGCTTCACAAATTTGCAAGAAATACTATGCCCTAATACTTAACTATTACTCATCAAAAGCCTATCGCTATGTACGTAAAACTTTTAGAACATGTTTGCCTGCACCCGTACATTGACTAAGTGGTACTCTACCATCGATCGCTGACCAGGGTTTAATCAAGAAGCGCTGACGGTATTAAAATTGAGGGCGGAGAGTAACCATGATAATTTTTTTTATTGTACCTTGGTAATGGATGAAATGAAAATTAATCAATTGACAGAATACCATGCTAGTAGCCAAAGGCATTATGTATATAACCAAAATGCCTTTTCGAACTTGCATGGTACTCCGTCAATTGTTTTATTTTCATTTCATCTATCACTAATATACAATATAATTTCTTGTCAGGGTTACTCTCTAGTCTAAGTTTTAAAACAGTTAACGCTTTTTTTTGTGTAGCCAAGTTGGCCATAAATTGTACTGTACCACTTTGTTATCGTATGTGATGCAGGCAGACCAATTTCAAAACTTTTGATATTTCGCACATATCGTTAAGCTTTCGGTGAATAGTAATGTAAAGTTAAAGCAAAACATCTTTCTGGGGAACATTTAGCCCTAGGTAAATGTCACGTTTTATTTTTAAGCAGCTGTCTGCTTAAAGTTCACTTTGTTAAACTATTACATAGTGTAAAACTTTTTTGTTTTCCTAATTTATTAAATACTTTCCAGACAGTTCGTTTAATAACTCTTGAAAATCTACAACTATTTATTATTAGCGGTTTTGTGATTGAAGCTTTATAATAAAAACAAAAACTAGGTTAACACCATCTAAGACGATAAACTGATAGGACTTTTCTTTTCAAAAAAATCTGATTTTTAAAATAAGTTAACTAAACCTATTTCGATTTGTTAAATGTTTAAAATTTCATCCTGCATAATGTAAAATAAACCTGTAGCAAAATAATAAACTTATTTTCAATAATTTCTAAGTTTTTTTCCTGAAGAACATTTCTAAATACTTTAAAAAAAGGATTTCAAATAAACTTGGTATTATTTATCTACGTATTACTTATAATCAAATAAAAACTTATGCGGACTATGGTGATTTGTTTATCGATAAAAAAAACATCGACATAGTCCACGCCTTACGTTGCTTACGCATTTAGACAGCGCCATCAGTGTATCGACACGTGTACAATTTGATGGTATGCGTAAACGCGATGAACACAAAACACAAATGTTGTAGTGTACGTTTATAGTGAAACGATTTAATTTTGTATTTGTAGTTAAGTTTACAGTTGTGTGTTTTCTTGCGCCCCCCTGATGTTGACAGAATTTTTGTTTAGGAATTAAGGCGCGTGGCCTCTCCACTTGGTTGAATACTCAAAGAGTATATAGAATGTTTGGAACGGTTTGGAATGTCGATGCAAAGCCGTAAAGCGGAGCTAGTATAGACCAGAACCATTTCAATCCAACTTGTCTTAGACGAAGTGTGACTATTTTATTTTTATCAAGCTTTAATGATTTTTGATTACAAAACCCAAAAATTTGGAGTTAGTTGTAAATCGTGGCCAGATTGAAAGACATATCATTTACTTTTTATTTAATTTTATTAAAGTAATGTGTAAACAGTCTATTGTAACATGATTTGGGAATCTGTGTCATGAAATAAGTTTTTTTATAGATATTTGAAGTCAATGATTTATTTAAAGATTGCGGAAAGCTGTTATTTGACGGCACTAAAAAATATGGATGGTGTTGTTTTCGTTCAAACATTTTTAAAAACATGCCTGGTTATTATTCTTTCTTTTGAGGCATCAACTATGCGGATAGCTCACAAATAATTGAAGTTGGGGCTTATAAACCAAATTGAGGGAGAAAATTAAAAATTTCAAGCGATAAAACGACATTAGTGCTTTAAAAAATACTTTTAATGTTGGAAATGATTACATAACAGAGTTCAATTCTAAGTATTAATTGGCACGTTCGAAATAAAATTGAGGCGACTCTTCTAACAAAGGCCAACGCGTAGCGCGTGAGATGAGATAGCAATAAAATTGACCTTCTCAGGTAGCGAGCCTTAGTAATAAAAAAATAGCGATGCGTAAATTACATTTCACAATAAAAACAACTTTATGGGTAATACAATAGTGTCGTGTTTCTTTCGTCTGGGTAACTACATGTTTCTTTAAGGGACGCTAGTATACTTAGTCGAGTTACAACTACGTTTGTGACTGGACGTTATTTCCTTATTCGTGACAAATTACCGTGTTCAGTTGTAGTAGCCCTTTGCACTTCTACGCGTGTTAATTTAGTTTGAATTGTTTCACCGTGTCCAGTTGTAGCCCTAGCTACCTAGCTCTGCGCTCCTGCACGTGTTCGTTTTGACTGTAAAATTTTTGTTTTAATTCGTTTCTTCGCCGTTTTGTATTTGAGAAGTGACTATGACTTCTTTTTCTAACGAGGAATATACTGACATTGTTTATGTATAGCAGAGCAGACAGCAATGGATCTTTAGCACGAGGGATGTACTAAGAACGCTAACCTAATCGCAGAGTACCAAATGTGAGAGTATTTTACAACACATTTCGTCGGCTTGCTGAAGATGGGATACACCATGTGAAACATGGAGTCAATCCGGGTAGACATGATACTCACATCGAGGAAGATATTTTCGCAGCATTTCAAGCTGATCCACACACCAGCACTAGAAAAATAGCTCGTAATTTAAATATTTCTTATTGGAAGGTACTGGTGTTTAAGGTCTTGAAGAGCGAGATCCTCAGAGAAGGATTCAGTTTTGTCGTTTTCTTCTCAACGCAGATATTGAAGGTGCATGGTTCCTGAAATCAATCTTGTGGACAGATAAAAGTAAATTTTCCAGGGAAGACATTACTAACTTCCATAATCTTCATCAATTGGCTGAGAAATCTAATAATACACATTGGAAAAAGCGGAAGTCTTTTCAAAGGAAATTCTCGGTCAACGTGTGGGCTGGAGTAATTGGCAGAACACTGATTGGGCCCCATATCTTACCGGATAATTTGGATGGCAACAATTATTTGGAATTCCTACAAAATGATCTTCCAGAGCTTGTAGAAGACTCCGGAGCCCCGATATTCGCTAAAGACCGAGAAATGATCTTTCAACAAGCTGGTTGTCCAGCGCATTGGACATTAAAATAAATAATAATAAGGCAACCTGACTCCACTGGACTTTTTTGTGTGGAGTCGTGCCAAAGAACTAGTCTATACGAATGTGGAAATAAACACAAAAGAAGAATTGATTGAGAGAATTAATTTAGCGTTTGAAACGATGAAACTGGAGATGAAGTCCATACTAATATTATAAATGCGGAAGTTTGTTTGTTTGTTTGTTTGTCCTTCCATCACGTCGCAACAGAGCGTCGGCATGGCATGATTTTTGTATGGGGATAGTTCGGAGGCTGTAGAGTGACATAGGCTACTTTATAGCGGAAAAAAATATCATTCCCGTGAGGAAAATCGAATATGTTGCAAAATTAAATTCAGATAGGTGGCGCCACCGTGATTCTACAAGATGGACGACGGTACGATGGAAGAACACAGACGGTCAGAATATCTGGATTATTATGTCGTTTTACCAAAAATAAGATAAAAAATGTATGGATCTGTATTTTTCCACGCAGGACCGGGAAGAAAATTCACCAGCTGATTTTCTTCAAGCGTTTTGGTGCATTGTAATTCACATAATAGGCGGTAACCTCGCAGAAGATATTAAGTAATCCGTTGATGCTCTGCCTACCCCGCAAGGGTTACAGGCGTGATTATAAGTATGGATCAGAAATACTATCACCACCTGTCACGCTTTCACCCTTAACTATTACTTAACTGTGGTAGAAATAGTTCTTAGAAAGCCTTATTAATAAGCCTTAATA